TCTAGGGATCGTTATTATTCGACTCGCCCTCGCTCCCGGGATTGATCACATTCGTTGAATTGAAAGCCTTCTATGTATCAATGCCAATCGACGAACCAACACCATTTGATGAATCAACACCATTCGACGAACTCTTCCCTTATGACAGATCATCTGCTTTCGTCGAATCATCCCATTGCTACAGTTCTGTTAGGCCCGCTCTGATCTGGGCCCAACTTTGTCTTCTGATATCAGATCCTTAGTCACCACTAACCCCTCCATGTTTCCTCGTGCTTCGTTGGATTTGGTGGACCCTCAAACGTTGTTGGATCAGCCGCACATTCTCCCTGAGTCCTGGGATCCATCTCAAGATACATCAGCTCGTCAGCTCGACCCATGTGTGACTTCGATATGATGGTGTGGGCCATCCCAGCAGCCTGGTCCTAGATGCAGCAGCCACCGACTCGTCCGTTGTCCCAGCCCACTGGTACGTCAGATGTCCGAATCCTACGTCTGCTCCGTCCCACCCTGTGCCTGAAGTTCTGGTTCAACGTATGGACTCTCCATTGCCTGTGTGTTTAGACGAACAATCCAGCATGGAAGGCAGTTTTGATTTGGTTGATCCTACTCACATCCTACCTAGAAGCAGTTCGGCTGATGACCTCTTGACTTTGTACAATATGTGCAACCGGGATCTGTCATCCATTACCTTCCCGCCCCACACGTGTGTATCTCAGTTGACATTTTCCTTGGATGCTTTCAAGAATCTCAAGCGCATCAGAGATGGTTTTGCTGCCCCTAGATTCTCCCATTAGTTCAGCGTATGTTCATGGGTTCGCCAAGCTTGCCTTTGCGCCAGCCGTGGATGAAGATAATGGCACCCTGTGTCCAAAGCAGAGCAGCTCACCTTTCCTTATAGAAGATCGTGAATTGGCTCATTTAGAGACTGCAGTTCGTCAAACCTTACCACTTGTTAATTGTATCCTGACTGCGGTAGATGCTGTAGCTGCTGCCGTAGAACATGCCGCCTCTGATGACGAAGTCTACATCCGGGGATCCATGGGCCTGATATTGGAGCAATTCCAGACTGTATTGGACCAATTATCGCATTTATTTGGCTACATGCTCGCTGTCAGATGTAGGGGACTACTTAACCAAGCCTCTTGGGACAATTGCTACAGTGTTGAACTATCCTGCCAACCCTGGGGTCCTGAATATTTATTAAACAGCCAGATCCCTGAAGCCTGATTCAGGTTTCCTTTCAGGTCTCAATCAACTTGATAAGGTTGCAGAAAACTCACCTCCAAGAGGCTCTCAAACAACGTCATATGGCACAGTTCTCACCATGTAATCCAGAACTAAGGGATATTTTTTGTTCCAACTCTGGCCGTGGCAGAGGGAGGAAATCAGGGCGTGGTTCCTCCTCCAGACATCCGATTCGGGGAGACATTGACTCCCAGACCTTTTCGTGTTACTGGGACCTTCCCCGCCCAGTCGTCCTGATCTTGGACTCCCCAGTAGAAGACTGGGACCCCCCAAATGGATGACCCGTTTGTCCTGACGACGCTGTCTCAGGGTTACAAGATGCCTGTCGTCGGATCGCCACCCCTGACCTATGAACCTGTGCGTCGAATATATCCAGCAAACCAGCTACTGACTCTGCAAGCCACCATAGGTACGTTGCTAGGGAAACATGCAGTAGAACCTCTCAGTCTGTCGCCCATCACTCCCAGCTTCTACTCCCCGATCTTTCTGGTTCGGAAAAAAGATTCCGACAAGCTCCACCTCATCTTCAATATGAAGCTGTTCAACGCCCACAACCTGGAGCCACACCCCCCCTTTAGATGGTCTCAGTCAGCCTGCTTCGTACCATTCTGAAGACAGGGGGTTATCTCATCGGTCTCGATCTCCAAGATGTGTACCTGCATGTTCCAATCCATGCAGGGCATCGCAATTACCTGCACTTCATGTTCGAGGGAATTCATTACCAGTGGAAAGTCCTTCCATTTGGAATTTCTACGGCCCTGTACCCGAGTCACAAAGCCCATCACGCGATTCTTCTGCTGCCGGGGGATCACGTTCGATTCCTACATAGACGTCATCTTGTCTCCAGTGATTACGAAACCATTGCATGGGAAGGAGTTTGAGACCATCACTTTCAGACCTTCTTCCTCGTAGCTCTGGCTACTGCGGCCCTAATATCTGATGTTTATGCATTACATGTTAATCATGTGAGGTTTGAGTGGAAGAAGCATGGCAAGGTTTTCTGGGTCTCTGTTGGAAGTTTGTTGCGAAGATCCAGTTACCATGGCAACCGGATCGGATAACACTGAAGATTTGACGCTTTGTCCTCTTAAGGTGCTTAGAATCTACCTCGCTGTTTCGCAAGTTTGTAGAAGACTGCGGAAGCGATTGTTCATCCCTCTCTCAATAGCCTCCAAAGCTGAAGTTTCCCGAACTACCCTGTCCTTTTGGATGCATTCAATGATTCGTCAGGCCTACACTCATGCCTGTCTATCCTCTCCTGCTGCCTCTACCCCACACGAGACTCGAGCGTTGGCTTTCACCATGGCATTGCATAGCAACGTTTCCTTGGCATGGATCATGGAGGGCTGTTTCTGCAGGTCTGATACAGTCTTCTCATCGCACTACCTACGAGGCCTTTCTGACACCGAGGGTCTTTACCAGTTTGGTAAATTGTGCTCGCACAGCAGCTGTCCTCGGCCCACCGACACAGAAAGACAAGGGACTTGTTCCGTGTGTAGCTCACCGCTTCCTTGTACATACTGAATAAAGTCTGAATCCTACTTCATCCTTTGTTCGACTTTATGGGTTTAGATCTTTCTCACCTGGTTCAACACTAGGGCATTCAGTACAGCTGAAGGTCATGGCTTAGTCATACACTCTGAGGCATACTTCGTACTGCGATGAAGAGGTGATCGCAACTCATGCTTACTGACCTCTACTCATCAGAGCAATTACATCAATGAAGTGTGAATTACTGAATTCCAGTGGATTTCGATGCGTTCTGCTGCTGAGTTGCCGGACAAAGGGTCATTCGATGTCGTTCAGAACTGAATGTTAAAATAATGAGCTTTCCGAGTCATTCCTCCTTTCGCCCTCATATCGACGTTGTTCACGGGGGCAGTTTCGAAGCGGGCTGGCCAGATCAAGAGATCTTAATTCACTGGGGCCTTCTGTAAATCGTGGCGAGGCAGGGTTTATATGTCGAGTTGCGTCCTTGTGTCCTAGCATCCTCGGACGAAGGTTGGGGTGGAAAAGCACATTACACGGGAGCACCCATCTCCCTGGGAGTTTTGTGCTTAGTACGCTAAGGGGTTCCGCGGATGAACCCATCACAAGCATAGGAGTTATGTAATCTTGGGATTCATAACAGGCCTCACTTGTGCGTCGCTATCTACGGATGTCTACACTGCCTTGTTTTGACTCAGGGTAATCGGCGCCTGCCGTCCAAGATGTGAGATAGCATAAGTTTAAAAATTTGGAAATTTTAACTATAATTGTATACTTATATACTTATCCTATCTCATGCGATGGATGCCCACCCAGCCTCCCCACTACCTTGATTACAGCTTTGCTCCAAGAATGAGGATGATGAGAGAAGGGTGGTAATGTGAGCAGGTAGTGGAGCGTGCTGCATGCTTCTCAGGAGACACTGGGACTGTCTTGTAAGGGGAGCAGCATGGAGTGCACGGGTGAATGGACAGGAGAGGCCTAGACTGGGTTTACAGTTTTCGTTTCCACTCAGTTGGTTGCATTGAAGAGAGAGAGTACAAGACATGAGATAGGATAAGTATATAAATATACAATGTATAGTGTAAACTTCTAATTCCTAGGAGCTGCATGACAAATACATGTACTGCAATGGCCTCTCCAAGAGTATTAGTGCCTTGGTCTAAAACAAGTTTCAGATATGTGAAATACTGCAGTAAAACTAGAAATGGTAAAGATGTTTAATGTCTGTTGTGTGAACAATATATTTAGATAAAAGAAGCATCTATGTAGAAATAAACTATATTCTACGTATATGTTAGTATCATTTGTATAGAAGGAACTATCATCTATGCAGATGATAAACTGCAAGGCCTTCACAGGTTTGTGTTGTAGACAATGTTGTGAATTTGTTTTGAGTATTTATCTGTCCTACCCATCTGGCTGACTGACTTTTGCTTGTCACCATAAGGCTAAAGCGTCAGAAACATATATTTCTGCTCTCTATATGTAAGCTATAGATTATCTGGTTGTATTTTTGAGGTTTTGATTTGTTTTGTTCAAAAAGACATTTTGGCTCAGCCTCGACCATGTTGCCCAATTTCACTAATTTTGTTTTTTAAAATGGGAAAATAAAATTGTTTTGGCAGTACTTTATTTAAAGTTTAACCCATTCAACATGAAGATTTACAGGTACAAGGTTTTAAACTGATACACTTCCATCTTTACACTGTAAAAGATAGCAAAATTACAAGATGTGTCTGGTGCAGTCAAACACCAAGTTGGTATATGGCAATCTGTTGCCAGTGGAATAGGCACTAACCTAACAACTTGTGAAGTTCCAAAATGTACTATTCGGGGAACTAAAAGTGAATCTCTTTGTAAACCGATGGAATAGGTCAAGTAATAAAAATAGGGGAACTCAGTGTGAATCTCTTTCAATACATGCAAATGGGTCAAAAGCACGTGGTCTGACTGTATGGGAAAAGTCATACTCCTCATTTTTCCACAGAGCATGTTGCATTTACGCAGCCTGTTCCAACTGTCTTGTCTTCAGACGATAATCCTTGTTTCAAGTGATACATTTTGCAACATGTTATTGTTTTTTCTGTACATTGGGTGAAATATATATATCATTTAGCATAAAATTGCCACAAAAATTCTAAAATTGCATACATTAAACTTTTAATTTATTGCAATAAGTATTGCAACATTATAACGCAATTTGTTCGTTGGGACGCATCCTTATTGATTCAGTCAAATGAACATCCTGATTTTGGTTTGTGCAGGGCACGGAAAGCCAACCAGACCTACCCTGACATCCCTGTCATCAGCCGTTGTCATGACTACGCCATCACCACCAAGTACACCTACCAGTGTGTCAAGTGTGGTTACAGGTATGTATGCGATCAGTCGTTGTTATGACTAAACCATCACCACCAAGTACACCTAGCACTGTGTTAATTATGCGTACAGGTATGTAGCATGTCATGTGTGTGATCAGGTACAATGACATCCCCATCATCAGTCGTTGTCATGACTACTCCAGCACCACCAAGTACACCTAGTACTGTGTTAATTATGGGTACAGGTATGTAGCATGTCATGTGTGTGATCAGGTACAATGACATCCCCATCATCAGTCGTTGTCATGACTACTCCATCACCACCAAGTACACCTAGCACTGTGTTAATTGTGGGTACAGGTATGTAGCATGTCATGTGTATGATCAGGTACAATGACATCTCCGTCATCAGTCGTTGTCATGACTACACCATCACCACCAAGTACACCTAGCACTGTGTTAATTGTGGGTACAGGTATGTAGCATGTCATGTGTATGATCAGGTACAATGACATCTCCGTCATCAGTCGTTGTCATGACTACACCATCACCACCAAGTACACCTACCAGTGTGTCAAGTGTGAGTACAGGTATGTAGCATGTCATGTGTGTGATCAGGTGCAATGACATCTCCGTCATCAGCCGTTGTTATGACTACACCATCACCACCAAGTACACCCACCAGTGTGTCAAGTGTGAGTACAGGTATGTAGCATGTCGTGTGTGATCAGGTGCAATGACATCTCCGTCATCAGCCGTTGTCATGACTACACCATCACCACCAAGTACACCTAGCAGTGTGTCAAGTGTGAGTACAGGTATGTAGCAACAAGGAGTCTCATACTTCGTGCACGATCTTGGGTGGAGTTTGGTTGGTTGGTTTGTTGTTTAACACCAGACTCAGCAATATTCCAGCTATAGGGTGGCAACCTGTAAATAATCGTGTATAGACCAGACTATCCAGTGATCAACAGCATCAGAATCGATCTACACTATTGGGATACGATGAGTTCAATAAATGATGAAACTCGGTGAAAATTTGCGAATTCTTAACAAAACTTTATGCCAAAATGCAGCTGTTCACATACTCGATATTTTTACATGCTTTCCAGAAATTTAATGCATGATCCTTGTGAAATTTATCTGCATAAGGTTTGCAGTGGGTTCTCCCAAGTTAGTGGAGAAATTCATCATCGATGTAACCATATATATATATAGACAGAACATATAATGAGTGCTTTAAGTGAGTCTAAACTTTTGATGGGTAGTATACATAACACACACACACACACACACACACACACACACACATAATCAAAGAGGACTATGGTGCTTGGCTCAGTACTGATTTTCTGCATGTTTCCTGTCATTTTAATTGAAACTGGATCTCTAAGCGGGATCGTCCTTATAAGTGTGCTCTGCGTTCTTCACCATCTCTGCAGGAGGATTTTTTAGACAATCTTTCGGTCTCTTATAGTAGTGAAAATATACAACGTTTATTCCATCCTACCCATAGTCCAGTTACTAGACATGCTGATTCTCCCAATAGAGTGGTGGTGTTTCATACTTCGCCTTCCCAGTCACGTTTAATGGTGATACCTACCACTTTGGCAATTCCTGCCAGTGCCGCGTCCTTTCTAGTTCGGGGATCCCGCCTATGACTGGTTCGGTGACTTACCCTCGGCGTACTGAGCGTTCACTGATCTACGTTCACCGAACCCCTTTTGTATTGGCCACTGCGTCTCAGCCTTCGAACTTGATCCTCGATTCGGCGAACCTGTTTGCTATTCGTCACAAGCTACTTCTGGATCGCTGTCGCCGAACCTATCTGTGTCTTGAGATTATTCTCGAGATACACAACTTCACATTCTCGTGGACTTTGACTTGATGGTGCAAGTCATGGCAACAGCTTTGAAGCAAGTACAGCAGCCGTATCAGTATTGTCAAGTCATACCTCCGAGTTGGCCAATCTCACTAGTCAATATTTGACGATTTCCCTCTCCTTCTCCATGGGGAGATCCCTTCATTGTATCATCACTCAGCTGGTGCTACTATCCACCAATTATAATTGCCGCTGACGAGCGATACGTTCGGCGAATCTACCCCTCAGCACTGACACCAGCTCTACAGACCACTATTAATGGGGATCCTCTCGGTTGATATTTCTACGATTGGCTTTTAACCAATAATTATGATACACATCACTCAGTTTCTGCTTCACAGAGGCATGGTGTTTGAGGCTTAAATTGACGACTGTCTACTAGCTCAAGAGATTGACACATCCTCCTACAACTTTTACATTTCGCCACCAACTGTTGTAGATTCTCTACTTATGAAATTAGAGCTGTTCTCAACTTTATATGCGCGTTCTCAGGCTACCATCTTTGCATCTAATATCATGGAGGTCCAGGAGTTGGTTTGTCGACCTACTAGAACTTGCCAAGTCAAACCCAGTACCGCTTCCCGCCGTACCCATCAACAGCCACATTAGTTGCCACAGGCGCTCCATCTATGACACATCTGCATTAATCCTTGATCACTCATGGTTACTAGAAGCGAGTGGCTACGGCAATTACTACAGCTCATCATATCTCTACACACGCCCACTACTATGACAAATGGAGGCTTATTGCAAGACGAAGGACATAACTTTCACTATCACAGCCTCACTTCAGATAGTTGCTGAGTATCTGCACCACTTACGTACTTCCAGATACTTGAAGGGCTCCACGTTGGCTATGTATCTGGCAGCCATTAGTGGTGTAACGATTCATCGATGTATTCACGATACACAGCTCTAGCAGCCATCAATACTGTAATAGCCACAGTCTCAGGTGCTAAAGTCCTCTACTGTCTCTAAACTCCAGTTGTTTAAACTATCTGACCAGTCTAAGAAATTCCGGCCACTGGCCTTGGACCACTCGGTCGTCCTCAGACACCTCGCCTCAGATGAGTCTGAGCCATTGGGGGAGAAGGATTTCGAGTGTATTACTTTTAAGACCTTTTTCCTGGTGGCCCTTGAGAACGCTGCACGCATCTCTGAACTTCCTGCCTTAGATGTCAACCGAGTGTGCTTTGAACGGAATAGGTATAGCACAGTCTTTCTTGACCTAAGATGGGACTTAATTGCCAAGAATTTACCAGGACAGCCAGACAGACTTTTCGTCATTCCACTACTGTCCACGATACTGGGGTCCGACGATATTGAGGATCTCTCACTCTGCCTGGTTAGGGCATTACAAGTGTAGGTTGCTGCATCTCAAGACTGATGTAGGCTACGCAAGAGACTTTTCATCCCATTGTCTCCAGCTTCATCAGCAGAGGTCTGACGTGTAACACTTGAGCTTTGGATGCGTTCAACCATCCTATGCACCTACGCCTACAATGACCTTTAGCCACCAGATTCTGCGAACTCTCACGAGACGCGAGCCTTGGTTGCAACGATGGTACTACACAGCAACTGTTCTCTTAATGTCATCATGGAGGGTTGCTTCTGGAGGTCAGGAATGATCTTTGCCTAACACTATCTACGAGATCTATGCGTCACTGATGTGGAGGGCTTACACCAGTTCGGCCCTTCAGTGCTAGCACAACAACTTTCGTTGGCCCATGAACGCAGATGAAGGTGCAGCCTTCCTCGCGATGGTCATGCTACCTTGTAGTTCAACAGAAGATATTGATGTTATCCTTTTGTCTTGTTCTACTTTATCCTAGCATAGATCACCCTCACATGGCATAGTTGGGGCATTAAAGTACTGTCATACCCATGACGCTATAGACTGTGAGGCCAGTCTTGTACTTCATGCAGAGGGGGGTCGACATTCCACTTACTGACCTCTACTCTCTGAGCAATTACGTCAGTGATGTGTTGATTTCCGAATACCTACGGGGTTTTCGAAAAGTTCCGCTCCTAAGTTCCTTTCTCAACTTTGGATGATCCATTGGTACTGAACGTTAAACCAGTTGAGCACCGGGCTGTTCTCCCTTTCACCGCCTTTCAGCGGGGTATTGTTTCGAAGCAGGGACTATCTAGATTAACGTCTTACACTTTAATTCACTGCTGTCTTCTGCGAAATGGCGGGGAGGCAGGGTTTACTTGCCAGACTGCGTCCTTTTGTCTTGAACAAAAGTTGCGTCTGCAAACCATATTGATTTGGGACCGCCAACTCCCTAGAGTCTTTGTGCTGTGTAAGCCAAGGGGTTTCATCAGTGAGAAGCATTCCATCACACGTGCTGGAGTATAGCATATCGGGAGTAGGTGCTTTCTCCAGGCCTCCTTGTGTAATGCGGCTTCACGGTTGTTCTAGATTCGACACAGGGTAATCTGCAGCCAACCGTCCAACCGTGGGATAAATGCATACCGTGAGATAGGAAAAGTTTTAAAATTTGGAAATTTTAACTAGAAATTGTATATATATAATACTTATCCTATCTCACGCGATAGATTCCCACCCGACCTTCCCCACATCACAGAATACTTCGTGCTCCAAGACGAGAATGACTGCAGTTGGATGTCATGTGACCGTCCTGAGCGCTTAGCAGGCTTTCCAGTTATGATTTACGTGTCCAAGAATGGGAACGGTCGGGTGGGGATCGGGAGAGAGGCAGAAGATTTTGTTCAACTTTGCCCACAGCATGTTTCCACGCCATGGTCGAAGTAAGGAAGAGAAGTGCATACCGTGAGCTAGGATAAGTATTATTAATATACAATTTATAGTTAAAATTTCCAATTATATAGATTACCTACGCGACCTTGTGTATGGTGTATGTCTCATCGAACTTTACGGCAAAAAACCCCAAAACGAAATGGGATGATTCTGTTGCATGCTACAAAAATTAATAAATACAAAATAGAAATACTAACATTAAAACCGACTAATGAATGTCTCAATATCCACGAAAAGATCCATATGCCATTGATCTGCAGCTGACATAGAAAACTGTTCCTTGCCATGTATGTTTTGACAGCCTAAGGGACAGTTTATAATTTATTTATTTATTTTATTTTGTTTATTTCATTTTTTTTGGGGTGTGGGGTGTGGGGTGTGTGTGTTTGATGATTTTAAGGGGGGTCACACATTTTGTTATGGGGAGGTAGGGGGTCAGCAATTTTGAACACATGTTTCTAGGGGGTCAGCAATTTTGCACATAAAAATATTTAAAAATTATGCTTGAAATATATGGAAAGGGGAAGGGGTCATTGACCTTGTACATGACATGCAGGGGGGTCACTTACTTTGTACATAAATCTTAGGGGGGTCATTCACATGGTACATGCTTCTCCATAAAAATCATCATCACCCCCCATAAATTATGAAAAAGGTCCCTATATGCAAAAAATGTATAAATATTGATGAACACTAACGGTTTTTTTATGGATTGGCAACTTCTTTTGCAATCGATGCCACGTGTCGGTGCAATAACCTCTTTATTGCAATCGATACGACGTTTCGGTGTAGATTAGCATCCACATTACTGATTGGCATCAACGCCGTCGATTGCAATAACGAAGTTGTCTATACATGAAAAACCAATCGATGCGACGTTTTTGGGTAGATGCTAATTAGTAATGTAGATGCTAATCTACACCGAAACGTCGCATCGTTTGCAATAAAGTGGTTTTCTATCCTAAAAATTCGTTCCTGTTGTCATACCAGCTTCTTAATGCCACTCACAGAAGTAATAACTAGTGATACTTTCGCAACTGGTCACGTGTCTGTTTCAGGTTTTTCACACAGGTGTTTTGTCTCATTGGTCACCCAAGATAGCATACTTGACAACTATTTGCAAGATGTCCACCATTCTTTTGAAAATAATTTAGTTAGACAACAATGTGCAATCAATTAACGTTAATCCTTTGAAGGAAGGGCGTTGTTTTTACACAGGCACTTTACGACAGGGCGTATTCGGTATACGTTAGTAACATCTACATACATAAACACTACCTTTTGACAAATCCGCTTTTTCAAGATAAAGGCAATTAATCAATCAGTTATCGGTTAATCTTTTGATCGACGTTTGTTTGTTTTTTAACTCAGCGAATATTTTCTCTTGCTTCACTATATGCGCGTATTACATAGCAATAATTTCTCTTGCTTCACTATATGCGCGTATTACATAGCAATAATTTCTCTTGCTTCACTATATGCGCGTATTACATAGCAATAATTTCTCTTGCTTCACTATATGCGCGTATTACATAGAAATAATTTCTCTTGCTTCACTATATGCGCGTATTACATAGCATGTAATACATTTACCTTATTATCGGACTTTATTGTTTTGAGTATTTACTCTTGACACGAAAAATGCTAAATTGGAACCATTGTCGGGTAATCTGAGTGGAGTTACTATTAATTATACCTATTATAATTCATTAACTGACCATCAAGTGAATGACAAATAAATAGGTGTAGGTTTACACCACCAAACATGGGTTAAAGCAAGGGAGTAGTAATTACCTGCAATTTTAATTGCCTAAAAACTTTAGGGGTCGATGCTGTATTGAGGACACGAACTTCATTGTTGCATAAGATATGCTTGTAAGCATTTGTTTTGTACTAAAGTTAAAAAATTGTATGTACCTATTTACCTAAGTATATTTTCAGATTTTTCTAGCAGTGATAAAGTGTGGTTGATTTAGTTTACGGATTCAAATAAGTCAAATGTGTGTTTTCAGTGTCATAGGCCAATAGACATTACAGTGTTTCATGACATGATTAATGTCGAGGTAAAAACAACAGCACAGGAATAAAATCAAATTGGATCAGTCACCATACTATCCACGTATCAGAAAATCAGAAAAAGCCTACAAGATACTTTATTACAATCAGACAAGAACAATGGATATTTCAAAATAACGACATCTGATAGGCATCCGCCGTTCTTTTTGTCCCTATGTTTAGGTTGAAGTAAGTCTGCAACGGTGGACAGTCCCCGTGGCCGTCAAGGTCGAGGGAACAGGGAATGACCACGTGGCAGCGAAGCGATTATTGGTGCAAAACATTAATCGCTCTGGATCAGTGCCCCTTTAATCCCTTTTGTTTCTTGCTTTCATCACCATTGCTATTTGTTGTTCTTATTCCAGAACTGGCCTCTTCCAGTTATTTATTAAATGTTGTTCAATTATATGCTGTTGTAAATATTAATTTGGGGCGGTGTGGTAGCCTAGTGGTTATAACTTTCGCTCGTCACGCCGAAGACACGGGTTCGATTCCCCACATGGGTACAACGTCTGAAGGCCATTTCTGGTGCCCCTCGCCGTGATATTGCTGGAATATTGCTAAAAGCGGCGTAAAACTAAGCTCACTCACTCACTAATGTTAATTTGCTGTTTGTCATAACATATCATGTTATCTGCTGCTTGTCAAAACATGTTATGTATATATATGCAATACTTCTCATCATTTGGTTGTAGTCACTTTTAGCTTGACAACGGTGTAAGAATCTACTTCAAAACGTCGCTCTATGCAATAAACAAGAAGTTGTCATCCATAAAGTTGTATGTTTATTTCTTTAGTACTCATATCTACATGACAAGTGATTGCCCGTTCTTTATTCCCTTAGAAGTTTATTTTTTCATTGATCGTTTCGTTGTCATCTAGCGATCCGTCGACTTGTGCAAATTCCAGAAGGAAGTCCCAAACGAGTCTGTTAACGATGACGTGTTCGTGTTTCGTGATACACTGGATTTCAGCTTCGTCACACATATGCTCTATTTGTTGTATTTCCTGACAGCATTTACTTTCTAAGCCTGAAGGCATAGCTACACACGCCCCCACAGCCACACCTAAAATATAAAACATAGATGTCTGAATAAGGCTTTCCGTATCATGATTATTCATCGACGGTAATTACAGTTAGAAGTTTAGGTGAATAGAAATCAGTATTACCCACAATCGTGCATTTCCACACCACTGCTACGACACGATAAATAGTTTAAATAACATTTATTTCTCTCGACATCTACAGTCCGTTTGGCTCAAAAGCGGACCGATGAATTGCAATCTAACTTGAAAACTAATAAACATAACATACTCAATGAAACGCTGATCATAATCAATACATCATTCCCTTTTTGTGAGTTTTTTGCAGAATTTATGTTTAACAATCTATCAATATTGTTTAACAACCTATCATTAAAATATTGACACAGTTCACTGTTTGTTACGAGGGAGGAGTGCAGAGACAGGGACAGCCAGGTGTTCGAGAAGCACGTTCACAGACAAAGTTATTTATTCATTAACCTGTGCTGTGCCGTCTCCATCCGTTCTCGAACACCTGGCTGTGCCAAACGGACTATAAATGAATCCTATAAACTGTCAGATTGATCGTCTTCACTTGACAGCTCCTGGCATTTCTCCGCTGTTGTCATGATTATTTTTTACTTACCACGGGCTTATATTGGTATGGATGAATATAATAATGTAAGGCCATTGAGCGAAAATTCATTCTTTTCGTGGGTTTATTGTCTGTCGATGCCATCAAGAACGTAAGTGGATTTCCAAACTCTATACGTAAAGAGCAATCTGCTGCAAGTCAACCGGCAACTATGACGTCAGGTCACCTGATAACAACTCTACTAATTAACTCTCGGTAGTTTCCGGTATGAGAGTATTTTTTGACATTTTTACCTGTCAATAGTGACTTTTGAGAAATAATTCTTCTTCACGTCACTAATTTTGATATGTTTTACAAGTGATTCAGTTATGATAGTTTACGGTATATCTCCTTTAAACAAGCATTTGGTTGCTCGCTCATCATTTCACCTTGCAGGGTTGTGTCCCTTGGGACAACGATTCTGAGTTTAAATCCCGGTTGTCCCAGCACAATACCCTGATTTTGATAATAACTTAATCACTCAAGTGGCCAAGCTGACACACTTGGATGTTAACCAAACTCTGTATGACATCTGTTCTTTCTTTGCAGTATTGGTCGACACTCCAAGTCTCTGGATACTGACAGGAAGGTGTGTGGGAAGTGCCATGGAAAGTTTGAGGTCCGTCTCTCCAAAAACTCAGCCAGCTCATCTGTCTCAAACACACCCAAGGCACCTCGAACACCCAACAAGTTTGCCCTGTTTGTGAAAGAGCAGTATGGCACTTATAAAAAGAACAAAGACTTGAAGCATAAAGACATCATGCAGCTGTTGAGCCAGGAATTTGCAGTAAAGAACAAACTGACGGCTTAACATATTTCATGGTGCGATTAGAAATCATGAATAACATTTTCAGGGATAATCAGTCTTGCAATAATTCTCATGTGATTTGAACATAGTTTGAATCTACAACACTATGATGGGCTGAACAAAATAATCATGAATTATGTATTCTAGACTTATATTTGATAATAAATACATGTATTTCTTTGCCAAAGATGATGCTGTAAACACCCAAGACTTGACTGATCTGTAAACTGCAGTGGTTCCTGGATGTTGATAAGGTCAGGTTTTGATAAGGATTTTACAGTTTCATGTAAGCAGGTGGTTGGTTGGTTTGGTTAGAACATGATATCATCAATAGGGTGCATCATTTCTATTCCTGGCTGTTCGAGTGCCGGTAGCATTGAAAGTGCTACTGAAAATCAAGCAGTAGCTGTGTTGGTCTAGAAGCCAGACCCTCAAAATGGTGAAAATGTGGTGCAGTTCTGGCGACCAAACGGGATGTGATTTTTCACACTCAGGAATGATTTAGCCTTGATTTAAAGCCGGTCGTCATCAGCTACCGTGCGTGACTACCGTGCAGGGGCCCTTTTAAGGTGCAACATGTCATGTCAGTTATGGCAATATTTTAACCGAGAACTGAATGGTTTATTTTAAAAACTCTGGTTTGGATTGATCGAACTTTCTGTTATGTTGTGCGATTTAATGATGGTCCAACAGTATCTTCGACATATTTGGTATCGTTGACTATGTAAAGCATGGAACTGTTACTGTTGAACAGACATTATATAATACTTTGCTGATCTAAATACAACCAACCTTTCTTTCTTTGTAATGTTTTTTCATGAATACAATGCCAACCCACGGTATATATGATCTTCAAATGATATAGCTGAATCAGAAAAACATAATTTTGGAAAATTACCTTTAATTTGTAAAGTTCAACTCATATTTTCTCATCAAATGCCCTTTCTATTAAAACTGACCTTTGGCCTCACCAAAATATTTTGTCGATGAGCAGATACATGTATGTAATATTATTGTCCACAAATTTAAATCACGGTGTGAGCATTCCAAAACTATTTTCTTCTTAATGAAAATCGGTCAATCCAAACCAGAGTTATTAAATTAAACCATCCAGTTATCGGTTACGTGGATTAAACTGTACAATACATTATGACAAGGTCATGATTTATTGTACTGTAAAGCATTTTAATTCGGGGGTCATCTCCAAAAATCATATTTTTAGCGTTACATCTTCGCAAAGACACGAGAGCCTGTGCGCCCGCCCACTCACCTCACTCACTCACTCACTCACTCACTCTTATAGTCGGTAGTTGATAGTGTTCAGGGCAAGTTGCTACAAGACAATGAAACAAACAGCATGAATTCAATTCCGATATACCCAGTGACTTCCAATACTTTATAAAGCAGCCAAACTCACTCATCCCCAACTCAATGATCTTTGTTATGGCGAAACCATCCATGTCTTAACAGGTTTGTATGAAAGTATTAAACATGCAGGATCAGCATCACTGATTTCCAACCACATGAATATGATGGCAGGGTTACAATGCGTGACAAGATGTCCCAGTTTCAAGGTCTACTTGCTGTCAGAGCTAAATCATCATTCTCAAAATTGCGTATAAAGACTCAATGATGCAAATATACAATACTTCCAATTCATTACCTGGCCTTTCTGTGACTGGGAGGAATTACATAAGCCCAAGGACACGTTCCACTATGCTGAAGCCACCCTGACAGTTGCACGAATTTTGTCCCCGCACTGCCGCGCAATTCGTCGTAGCAATGCGTGTAATTTGGATGGTACGCATGAAAGCGTGAAGCCTAGATTGCGCATTGTTCGCGTCCTGTTTACGCATAAGTAACGCACTTGGCACGCAATGCGTGACCGAAAATGGTGCGCCTTGTCACGCTGTCGCACGACTTATTTAGGTCAAGTATTGTTGGCGCATTGTTTTAGCACGAAGATTATGCGTACCAGAATTTTTGAACATTTCAAAAATTTCTTTGCGCACTGGCATGCAAACCCGCACAGTTTATGCACACTTCACAACAGTTTGCGCCGAATTTACTCAATGGCACGCAAAATTGCGTACCAGTGCGGGGACAAAATTCGTGCAAGTGTCAGAGTGGCGCCCACACTTTGAACTTAAACGTTCAACATTTGTCATGCAATCACTTTGTGGAACGAGGCCCAAAGGGGGTGGAGTTTTTTTTGTCGTCGACTGCTGTTAATGAAATCTGGAGTGAGTGAGGGAATTTATGTTTACGAAGCTTTCAGCACTAACCCAGCAATATGATGGGGAACAACAGAAATGGGCTTCACACACTGTACCCATATGGGGAATCGAATCCTGTGTGATGAACGGAATATATATCCACTATGCTACCCCACCTCCCCAATAGAACCTGGAACCACACAGACCAGTGGTTTTTGTTCTGGCCAATGTCCAATGCCCTAAGGATACAAGGGCACTCAGTCAACCAGTCACTGACCGCAACCAACCTGATCCATTTTCATTAGTCTCTTCTTACGCCATGTCATTTTTAGTGCTTGGAATCAGATGTATCCCAGTCCACAAGCGTGAGATTCAATACAGTTCAAAGATAGGATAATCCTCGATATAAATATTCATGTTTTGGGGGGTCAAGCTCTCTAAAGTGTCACAACTCGCTGTGCTGAGCTGCGTCACTTGTAAGTCACGCCGCTTGTGGGTTAAACACCAGGAGCTACAGGGATTGTCATCCTTGTTTTGTAAGAGCCTACTGTACGGCGAAATTCCTGTTGGTTGTAAGTCTCTATGATCTTCACTAGGCGTTCATCCTACATTCCACCACCTCCATGGTCCAATGGGTACAGTGTATGACGAGATCCCGGTCGCATAATACGGGAAGACAATGGTACTTCTTGTTACCCGGCATGTCGTTCGGTATTGCCTTTAGGCGATTGAACAAAGGCCAGTATATTGTATCAGGATGGTTTATACATATTAATTTCTGATATATGAGTATACTGTCGCTAAAATTTGCATCAATCTCGACCAGTTCAAACAATCACACACACGAACGCATGCTAACATATTTCTGGCTTTTCGCCTACGTTAGGGTGTACTGTTTCAAGCAGTGTAAAACCAAACGACCTCACTCAATTTATGCTCTTATAATAAACAAACTTCCCATCCTCCACAACGAGTGGGTGAATTGTATTTTAAGCCGCTATAAGCAATAACAGGAATGTTCTTTACACATGCTCGTGTGGGGAATCGAACCCGGCCCTTCAGCAGGACGAGCGGGCGCTTTAACCACAAGGCTACCTCGACGTCTCCGAGAACGAAAGGTCGGTTTTACCAACTGACGTTCTTATTATCCTGTCTGGCGGTTGGTAATATACTACTCACACTTTGTTAAGGATCTAAAAAATTCACAACTTTACTTAAACGTAGGTTTAAAAGTTGAAATTGGATGAATAATAATATGGTAACCCCTCTTTAGGCAAACAGTCACTTTAATCTAACCTTATGCACTTGATACATGACTAACCATAGAAATGGTTTTCATGACACCAATCAAGCATTTTGCAAATCATGGAACGAGTCATTGACAAGTACACAACACCTGTCAATAGGAGGTATAGATTCCACAAGATGACATACTGAAATCTAGGATCCATGCTTACAATAAGCTTAGATACTTAAACCCCAAATCATAGTTTTCTGTTGAATCCATGATTTGATCCTTAGCAAAGTGTGAATAGTAATTAGATTAAACGAAGACTGATCTTCTCGGGGTGGTGTAACCATGTTGAAATGCAGCATGGTATCTCGGAGCGCTGGTACTGTTAGAAACACACATTAGTATAGACTGTTGTGAGTTCTCCTCTGTCTCTCAACTCACGCAAACTTCTACCAGTCCGGATGAAACGGGTACAGAAGAAAGACATGTTCCATTCCGCTGTCCTCGCTTCACTCGTTTTTACGAATATCAAACATGGATCCACTATGGGCTTTAATGAAACCAGTTGAAACGTTTGAGTTCTTTCACATCACCTGACTAAGAAAAAGTACGAGCCTTTCAAGACCACCCAACCGAGAACGCGCTGTAAGATGATGATTGAGAGAGGCCTCCAATCATACTGGATTACCCCCACTCATCCATAATGTATTTAAACTCAGTAGCTTTTCACTGACAAGGATAAAATCTTATAGGCCATGTACATTTCCATCTGCTATACATTGACTCCAAACCACACTAAATATAGCCTGGAGGGTAGTTTCCCCCTGTCAGCCAGACACGAATTCCTGAAAGGTATCTTTAAAAGTTTTAAAATATAATTAAAGATAGTCATCGAGTCATACAAAGTGGCTGGGCGACCTTGGGATGGGATGGGTCGTACATAAGCTGCAAATGAATTCATATTGCATAATATTATGATTGAGCACAAAGCAAGTGGTGCATGGTAGCTTGAACTAAGTGGCACTTTAGAAGTAAGCTGTTCCCTAACTTAGAGACAGTGAGGGCAAGTAATGTAGTCACATCGGAACATGATATAGTAGATGCATTAGGTAGTACGCTATAGAACTGATTGGGTTTAATCTTGTTTTTTCTTCCAGTTACAGAACATATACATGATATATGTTAGGGACCGTTCATAATTTATGGTGTGTGACCGTTCATGTGTGTGTATGTGTGTGTGTGTGTGTGTGTGTGTGTGTGTGTGTGTGTGTGTTTTCATTGGCCCAGTGGGAGTTTATAAGTTTATAACGTGTGAGTGACGATGGTGAGTGACTCGTGTTTGATGCCGTTCTAATCAGGATGAAAGCCACAAGTGATGCATAGCCAAAGCATCTGTTTCGGGTATTGTCCAGAGTGTCAATCAGTCCTGACACTCCGTGAAGTAGGAATGGATGAAGGCCAGTATGACATAGAATAGATATCAAAATGAAGTTTGTGAAATATCCTGACCTATTAAAGATATCTATGCTTTTGCTTCTTTTGGTTTGTTACGGTGCAGAAGTACGGGGCACCTCATATTACAAATGTTTTGAAGATGTACAAAAGCCATCTGAAAAAGGTTTGTTAAAATGGGCAAAACATTAAACTATGCTGTAGTTCGGGTGAGTGTGGCTTCCAACTTGTGTACACCAAGGGCTATCAAGGGTGTCCTCCCATTTGTGAGAACTCCCAGTTGTGAGACACATTAATTAATGGTTCAGTGCACATAGGTGGTGTTTCCACATCCCTACAATGAAAGTGGGATCAGCCCAGTTGTTGAAGAGTACCCACAGGAGTCATTGATGAGTAGATTAATGAAATAGATTATCAAAGATTCTATTTACACAGAAGAAATAGACCATTATAAAGTTTGAAAGTCATTTTGGTTTAAACATATTTTATTATTATTTATGAAAATGAATTGGGATTGGTGAGCAAGCATTACTGCTTATGTTAACACCGCTCCCATGCAACATAAAATACAAAATGAAATGGAGGATGTGATGTCATCGATATTGACTATTGCATAAATATATTTTTAAGTATACATCAAATATAACTATTCTCTAAGTAGTCATAATTAGAGAGTTACAGTTGTGTGTGTCCAACAAGCTATTGTAGGGAAATAAATCAATCATGAGAAGTTTGTTGAGTTAATTTAAGTATTTCTGAGACAATTTGAAGCGTTGTGTCTTGATGATATAATCGTGGACAGATTCAACTATTTTCTGGTTTACACAAGGAGTAAATTTTTTGTTTCCGTTCAAAATGGTATCCAGGTTATAACGGGTAGTGTCGGGTAAAAAGGTTTGGCATAAGAGGCAGTTCGACTGTAAACTTGTATTTCAGAGTTATTTCTTAAACTATATCTTGTAATTTATCACGAAGTTACCTACACAAAGTGTATGTTAATCAATTTATCTTATAAAGTTTCATTAAGACTTCCACAAGATTCAGTTACATAGCAAATCAGTAATTTAGCTAGGGTTAGTCCATTCTATCAGACAGGGGAGTATGGTGTGTTTTCTTTGTTAATTACCTACTCCACTGTCTCATAACTGGGAGTCTCACAATTGGGAGTTCTCACAAATGGGAGTAGATCGCTATCAAGTATTGGTGCAGATTACTGTATTTGGATGACCAGAGGCTGTCTCGCCAGTGCTAATTAATGCTCGATTGACGGGGCGATTCTGGTCGTACCACATGGGTTGCTCATGCTAACAATATTTTATCTAAATCAGGATTTGGATATGTATGGTCAAAGCAAGATAATGGTCATGTATAAACAATTTTCATATTTTTTTCAGGATTATTTGATAACCGACAACATTGTATAATTCCATCAATAGTATGCCTGATGCCTTTTAACATAACCATTCCTTATGTTTCAAGTCATATGAAAATAACCGGGCTTGACATAACACTTTATTCATTCTAAAGATATACATGAATTGTATGTTATTGCACTTCGGATAAAATTATAATAGCACAGTTTATTGACTGGCTTATGATGTGTATTGGACAAGATAATGGGTAGTATATAATCTATACATCTTGGTGAAACTGTAAGATTTCCCGAGAAAAATAAAATTGTCTTTGAATTCGGACCTCAAGAAATACCAGAAAGAAATGCCTTCTCTTCCATTGGCTTTCATTTGACGATTTCTCTTTTGAAATATAGTAACGTGTTTCCCTTGAATAACGATAAACAGCGTGTTCTATTGGAATAAAAACTGCGTCAAATAACAGACCGTCAGAAACCAACCAGCGAGGCTTGCAAGTGGTAGTGACGGTGTCATTTGGCTTCATGACGAAAAGACTTTCGGGTTTATATTCCAGACGTGTACTGATATATGCCACCTAGAACAGAAGATGTTTATCAAAGGGTATCAATTCAAAATGGAAAATAATACACTCCACGAACCCAGGATTTCTACACGGTTGAATGTGATCTAAAGTCCTCTCATGACTGACACACAATATATATCCATACGGCCGAATACCACTGTGCCTGTCAACACTGGTATCATTCGACTGAAGATCTCGAAAACAGATTGCCAGTTGCTTGTTTCGTGGCGTTTACAGTTATATTGCACCCATAACTTGTCGGAAGACGTTTACATGCATACTTGACATCGGGTGTAAGGTTCATGTCATTTAACTCCATGAGCAAAAACACTTCTGCATTATTGCCATGGGATCGAAGTTTGATTTTCCACATATCGAAAGTAATACATTCCCGAGACCCGGAACACTTACAGCTTGTTGATTTAGGGTCTTTTTTCATATTCCAGATATGAACAATACATTTCCACGACCGGAACACTTATAGGTAAAGTCTTTTGTTCATATTCCAGATATGGACAATACTTCACACTTAATATCTTCCTGGTCCGGTGTAACGATTTTAGTCGTCTAGAAACCGAAACGCCATTGAGTCAGGTTCCTCAAGGCGTCCGGAACTCGGTAGTCAAACATAAGAAAATCGGAATAATACACCTGAAAGAGCTGATCCAGAAGGCCAGGGGGGATTTCACGGTAATACTGGTACAATAACTGTTCCGTGCCACTATGTTTATACGTCACAGAACGGTCGGGAAACTTCAGATGGGTGGCTCCAATCCTTTTCAACACAAAAGCGGAATCTGCACCAATGTTACTATAGGATCCAATGAAATCATATTTAACTTTGCAGGGGTGACACAAATCTACGATCCTTTCCCAGTGTTCATTAAACGGTTCCGACCTTGAAGAATCTATCAGATATTGCACAAATTCATAGAACGTCAATTTAACGCCTGTTTGACCTTTAGTCCTGAATCGTTTCATGATGTTCTTTCCGTAATGATTCTGAAAGAACTGATTGACGTTCTTGCCTTGGAACTTGTTCCTGAAGGCTGAGAGTACACGTTCAAAAGGTTCACGGGTAAACATGAACTTGTAATAATGTTTCAACCTATATTTGATCTGGTCTGGTGTCATGTCCTTGAGATGGGTCAAATGACGGTCGTATACTCCATGGACAAGGGGGGATCTCAGCTTAAAAGGGTCCGTTGCATTCATCTTCCCCGTCAGCATCAACATCATCCTCCGCCAGTTGGTGCAAGCAGCCTTGGGTACCTGGCAGTATATGATCTTGTATTTGTCGTCAACCAAAAACTGTTTGAACATTGCTGGGTTCACGATGTCGTCGTATTGTTTCTCTTCGCAGTACTCATCCTTTGTACTGGGATGAGATCCAGACATCTGTAAAACAACATGAATTGTTTTACCGGTTGACTGTTGCATAAAAAATGACGCAAATGTTATCGGAGCATTTTGACTAAATTATTTAAAAAATACGTTTTATGTAGAATATTTTTGATAAAAGATTGAATTGGGCATGTGAGAGCAATCTGGGCTCATTGTCGTAGCGTAGTGGATGTTATGTACTATATGTCATTCAAATTTCAAGAACACCTATGTGTGCATTATCTGCAAAGACAAGAACAGTGTGAGTGATTGAATGAGTTTGGTTTACGCTTCTCTCAGCAATATTCCAGCTATATGGTGGCGATCTGTAAATCATCGACTCTGGACCAGACAATCCAGTGATCAACATCATGAGCATCGATCTACACAATTAGCATTCGATGACATGTGTCAACCAAATCAACGAGCCTGACCACCCGATCCCGTTAGTCGCCTCTTACGACAAGCATAGGTTACTGAAATCAATTCTAACCCGGACCTTTTACGGGTAGGAACAGTGTGAATTGGTGTATCTCATCTGAAACGTTGTCTGCATAATTACGTCAGTCGGCAGTGACAGATATATATTGGAGGCCTGATGTTGCTCCTGTAAGGGCGGTTTCATCTCATAACTTGTGACTTTGTAATGATTAATTCGTTACAGTTAGTGTGTTGGTTGGTGGGTCGGTGAGTGGCTGGGTGAGGTTTAAAGCCGCAATGGAAAATATTCAACGTTATATCACGGCGTGCCAGCTTAATGTGGGAGGGAGCCTAAAGTGATGCTGGTCTTCACGGTGGCCACTTTGTTGAAACCTACGGCACAGGTTTGGTTCTGAAAAACTCAGAAACAAGGGTTTTCTGACGTGCTCGGGGACGCAACTCATAACTTCATTATTCAATAATGTCGTGAGTCACGAAAGGTGTAAACGTGTTTTTCAGAGCTGAGCCTCAGTGTTCGCTGGTCTGTCTTACCATGCACTAAGTCCACTCAGCTTGTAAAGCATGTAGTCCGAGACGACATCAACCAACACTAAGGGACCATTCATTATTTATGGGGTGATGGAGAAGCATGTACAATGTGAATAGCCATAAGTTATTAAATTATGAACGGTCCCGAACACCTTTTCAGAAGAAGGGTGTGGTAAATATGTGATACATTCAACTGAAAGTCTTTATATGTGGTATCATATGCGCCTCTACTTACTGGACCAGGTTTAGAAGGAGACTTCGCTGTCACGTGACCTGAAACCACACAGACAGGTTACCTGTAGAAACAGGAGATATCCAAGGATACATTTTATACATATTTTGCAAATGTGTTTGAGAAACAACAATAATTCCGGCAAAACATAAGCAGCATTGTTTGATGATAGCTAAAATTGAAACAAACAAGAAATAGTTATTCAATGGTGATGTATAAGATATCATTTATCATGCTTGCGTTTTGTGTCTTTAATAACGTTTGTTCTTAAATAACGTTTTGGGTCTTAAATAACGTTTTGGGTCTTAAATAACGTTTTGGGTCTTAAATAACGTTTTGTGTCTTAGATAACGTTTTGGGTCTTAAATAACGTTTTGTGTCTTAGATAACGTTTTGGGTCTTAAATAACGTTTTGGTTATGTTTGAAATTTGTTGGTCATTTCGATTTTTATGTACTTTCTTTTGGCCGTTCTGCAAAATTGTGGCGTTGATAATAATCACTCCCTCACTCACTCGAAAGTTATAAAAATGATCGAAAGTTTAAGCTAACCTGGAACTCGTCTTCGTGTACAACCCTTTTATAGATAAGTTTGAGTTATATTTACATACAATGAAAGATGATAGAAAATGATGAAAAGTAAATATCTTAATCCATTTACTAAGAGCAAAATCTGTAACACTTACATCCAACGACTGTAAGGACGCAAAAAACTTTAGCACTTTCGTTTTAACTAAACTATCTTGGTATCTTGCACTGTCATGACATAGTAATTAAATGGCTAATGTGTTGAATCATTCATCTGTACATGCTTTGTTGATGCAATGTCAGAGTGAAACTTGGATGCTGTGGATACGCACCACTAAACTGCATTTGATAATTGTATAATTGTAGTTACACAGTCCTGTTTGTGTTGATACGAACGTTTCTCCTTTTAAAACAGGTATAATATCAATAGATCTACGAATTGGCGCGCTAGGGTGATTAAATCGATCGGATCGATTTATAGTGAAAAATATAATGATGTGATTGTTAAAATAACATAAAGTGGATCTTGTGAGCAAAATTGAATTTCCAAGTAAAGGTTGTTGTCAATGTTCATAGCGTTAACCGGGCGGGAACGTTCCCGAACACCTAGTGTTATCACTGTTTTGATAGTGATAAATAAACACCTACTCGTGATGACGTCGCTCTCGTACAATCGGCTCTATTTCAGTAGATGTATATCATGACTATAGAAAGACACACCAACTCCATCGGACAGATATACAGACACATTCAGACCTTATTCGGATAGACACACCAGCTCCATCGAACAGACGCACCGACTTACTCGAACAGACACCACATCTCATTCGGATTGATACACCGACTCACTCGAACAGACACACCGACTCACTCGAACAGACACACCGACTCACTCGAACAGACACACCGACTCACTCGAGCAGACACCCCGACTCACTCGGACAGACAGACACAGACACACCGACTCACTCAGACCCCGACGCAGAGACACACAGACTCACCCCAACAGACACACAGACTCACCCCAACAGACACACCGACTCACTCGACAGACACTCCGACTCACTCGGACCGACACACCGACTCACTCTCGGACTGACACCGACTCGCTCTCGAACAGATTACACCGACTCACTCGAACAGACACACCGAGCAGACACACCGACTCACTCTCGAACAGACACACCGACTCACTCGAACAGACACACCGACTCACTCTCAAACAGACACACCGACTCACTCGAGCAGACACACTGGCTAACTCGAACAGACATATCGACTCACTCGAACAGACACACCGACTCACTCTTGAGCAGACATATCGACTCACTCGAACAGACACACCGACTCACTCTCGAACAGACACATCAACTCACTCGAACAGACACACCGACTCACTCGAGCAGACACACCAACTCACTCGAAGACACACCGACTCACTCGAACAGACACACCAACTCACTCTAACTGACACTTGACCAGACACACACTCACTCTAACAGACACATTGACTCACTCAAACAGACAGATCGACTCACTCTCGAGCAGACAAACTGACTCACTCGAGCAGATACACCGACTCACTCAAACAGATACACCTACTCACTCGGACAGACACATCGACTCACTCGAACAGACACACCGACTCACTCGGACAGATACACCAACTCACTCGGACTGACACACCGACTCACTCCAACAGACACACCGACTCACTCGAGCAGACGCACCAACTCATTCGAACAGACACACCGGCTCACTCGAACAGACACAGAGACTCACTCTCGAACAGACACACCGACTCACTCAAACAGATACACCAACTCACTTGAACAGAGATACCGACTCACTCTCGAACAGACACACCAACTCCCTCGAACAGACACACCGACTCACTCGAACAGATACACCGACTCACTCGAACAGACACACCGACTCACTCTCGAACAGACACACCGACTCACTCGAGCAGACACACTGACTCACTTGAGCACACACCCCATCTCATTCGGACAGACACACTGACTCACTCGAAGAGACACACCGACTCACTCGAAGAGACACACTGACTTACTCAAACAGACACACCGACTCACTCGAACAGCTACACTGACTCATTTGAACAGACACACCAACTCCCTCGGTCAGACACACCGACTCACTCCAACAGACACACCGACTCACTCCAACAGACATCCCATGTCACTCGAACAGACACAGCGACTCACTCGATTAGACACACCTACAAAACTACCTGAAAGCTATTCGTATCTAAAATATACTTCCCATCAAAAGTTAAATCACTAGTGTAAATGTAGGCCCTACCTTCAGGCAATTGTTCTAAACTAAAGTTGGCAACATATTGCATACTGTTTACTGTTTACAACTGATGTATTGTAAAACAAAGCGAAAATTGGCGAATTCTTAACAAAACGCAGCTGTTCATCACATGCACAATATTTGCACATGCTTTTCAGCAATTTGATCATGTAGCTTTTCAGCAATTTGATGCATGATCAACGTGCAATTCATCTGCATAAGGTTTGCAGTTAGTTCCTTCAACTTGGAGAAAAATTCAACCTTCGATGTAACCCCCCCCACCCACATAGTGAGTGTTTTTAGTGAGTATATAAAAGTATGCGAATTCAGTCCAACGCCAGCTTTGTTTAGAATAAGTATATCTGTTTGTGTGGTTAGGAAACATTTCTTAGGCTTTAACTAATGTACATAGTGGGCCAACAATTTTAAACCCAAAGGAGGAAAACGATTTTTTAGAAAAAAAAGTTGTTTGAGTTGCATATTCAGTGCGGACTGACTAAATACTTGTCATACATTACAGATCCTCCTCCACCTTACCCGAACACAAAATGTCGGGTCGTGAGTCACTGAAAATACTTGTAAGCTGTTTCCCACAACATTCATCAGCTATGAATGCGGGTGACAGTAAAACATGATTTCACATAGCTCCCCGATGAGCACCGAACCCGGATATGTGGTGAGCTAAATTAAATCTGGGATTCCTTCCTCTTGGGATAACAAGTTAATGAACATCGTTCGACAATATAGCTGTGCCCATTTGTTAAATAATAACTGGGGAACTAAATCTTGTGTAAAATATTTAAAGTTTTAATGCATGAGGACGTATTAAAACGGCACTCTGGGATGATGACGGTAATGTTACGAACTTACAGAAAGTTTAAGTTCTCCGATGCTGTAGAATTTCATGTAAAAAATGTTATCTTTCGAGACCATCGTCGTATTTTAGCTAAGTTTAGGTGTGGAATTTAACCATTGTATGTTGAAACGGGTAGATATACCAAGCCTTCTATACCACTTGAAGAAAGGCTATATAAATACAGTAAAATTGCTTGTACGTATTTTATTGAAGATGAATTTCACTTTTTCGGGCATTGATTTTCTACATGACATGTATGGGGTCACTTACTTTGTACATATAAGTTTTAGGAGGTAAAGGGGGTCATTCTCATTGTACATGCTTCTCCATAAACATCATCATCACCCCGCTTGCCATATATTAGTAATGGTCCCTAAAATATGTCAGTATGTCTCAATTTCTCTTCCTCACCTTTCTTGTCTTTGCGCATGACCACCACACTGTCGTCCGTCTTCGAAATGATGGCGCTGCTCAGCATGAACGCCAAGCATATCAGCACTCCAACGACAGCACGACGGGGATGGAGCCTCATCATTAGAACAGTCCGGTTTCGGTACCAGTCGTCACAGCGCGTCCATCTGGAACACATACATCATGTTCTAACTTTCTTGCAATGTTTTACTCTGCCAGGAGGCAAACAGTATCCGTTCATGTAGTTTGTTGTTTTCGTTTCCTAACCTGGAGGAGGAGAGATTCACTAGATTCACTCGAGGATAACGCGCAAGGATGCGGATGACTAAACCAAGCCCCTTCAACATGAGCGAGATGGCATGTGACCTTAGTGTGACCTGGTACTGTTAAATGGGATTCATTGTAGAGGGCGTGAATGTTTATAGCGGTTGGGTTTTTCAAGGCATGGATGTTTTGTTTGATACAATTTGTATTAAGTTATATTCTTTTATAAATATTTACTTTTGATCTATGCATTTTGTTAAATATAGGATCTCCGCATGCTCAGAGTTTTTTAAAGTATACGTTTTCTCTCGTTGCTGTGGTTGTATGTAAGTAACACGGCCACCAACGTTCCTTGAGTACATTGTTTACATGATCATTTGTACTCATGTTTTAACACCAACCTTAAATTGTTAAAGCACTTTCTATATACAGGAAACGACACCTGGCGGTCTACATAAATAATAATGGCAATTATAATAGCAATATTTATATAGTACATTTCGACATGTTAACATAAAATCTAGGGCTACGACGGGTCCAAATTTTCTACCCGGGTACCCCACCCCCTATTACCCTACCCTACCCTACCCTGATACCCGTTATGTCAATTCCTGACAAATTTGTAAGAAATGGCAATATATTCTTCAGCTCTGAGGCTAAAATATTTCAATATCTTAACCATGTATTATGTTCAAAACAGGTGACTGTAATTTATGTCTAAATCTTCAAAGACAATACAACCTTTTAATCGTGAAAGAATAACATATACGCATAGGCGTATAAGAATAAAAAGAAACGCATAGGCGTTTTGTATTTTAAAAATCTATTAATTACCTATTGTGTTCAAACAATCGTCAAAATATGTAACAAAGGTGTTGATAACATGATTTTACACAATTGCACAAGTGAAAAGTCAACTTTACCTGAAAATGTTGATTTGATGAGATTTCTGACAAGAATTTAAAAGACATTGCCACAACGCAACAGAAATCACCTTCCAGTTGAAATTGTGCAGCAAAGAGCATGCACTGTCTGGCTATTAAAATCCAAATTACTTTCGGAAATCGGCATCCGGCCAAGTCTTGACGCTGCGACACGGAACATGGTCATTGAAAGAATGTACGCTGGAGATTATCAATTTTCTATTGCCAGGCGTCTGGATGTTAGTCTGAGCACGATATCACATGCATAACAAATGACCGTCCTCGTACAGGCAGACCTCGAGTCACCACTGCAGCCCAAGATCGGTACATCCGGGTACTACATTTGCTTGTGAGAGCACAGCAGCTAGGGTGCCTGGACTTCGGAGGATATCCGGTCAAACTGTGCGGAACAGGTTGAGAGAGACTTAACTGAGAGCCAGGAGACCCGAAGTCTGGACCATGCTACATGGTCACCATCGCGCTCAACGTCTCCGTTATCTAAAAGTATCCACTTGGTTGTATAGACATTACCTTCTTCTAACCTGATGTAAAAATTCATTTCTTAATGTCTATTTGTGGACGGGTTATACGTGTTTGAAAATACAACATTTTCTCAACAGATTTCTGGATTATGCGTTTCTTTTTTCTTTGAATAGTATATAACATTGTTTAATCTATCAGTCACATGATCATAACGGGTCCGTGTATTGAGAAGGGTACCCGGGTCATCTGATTCTGTCGGGTACCCATCCAATGCTGGGTGAACAGAAACACCCCATGTAGCAAGTGCTTCAGTGTGGAGAAAGACCGAAAGCCTAGAAATCTAAGTCAGCCTGTCGGACGGTCACCAACCCAACAACTCTTTCTGAGTGTTGTATACAGAACAAAGTGACGTCGTACATGACCACGTGTCCAAAAGTTACGCCAAGTACGTACACTGAGAAGTAAATAAGAAAGATAAAATCCTTGCCACAGCCCTGTGTAAAACGGGCGACATTGTCCTTTCCTTTGTGATATCGGCTTTCTAAATTACCATTGTCACACCTTTCCGCGTGAGAAAAGAAAATAGGTCAGAAGTCCTTGTCTGTTACAGCGACCGTTGTGTACCACATACCTTACCCAAGTCCGACCTCAACTCGCCGCGATGCCCCATGTCCATTTGACCGTTTCAGTGACCAGTACAGACTGCGGGGTGGCGCCGGGTCTATTTTCCTATCTTCCAGGTGAGATCTAGGTGATGCTTTATACCTATTGTGCTATGCTCTACTGATGGATGGGACCTCACCAGAACGATAAAAGGGCATTTCATAGGCCATTTACGAGTACCTTGGTAGACCTGCTTGCGTGTTTGTCATGAATAGAATATGTTGAGGGTATGCAGCCGTGGCTAACTTAAATCTAAGCAGAAGGAGATTTCTGTGGGTCTGATTTCAGTGGCGATAAAGGAGAGCCCTTTTAGAATGCGTGTTGGTTCTGTTCGCAACAACTAGGGCTGCGCAATATTACCGGTTTACCTTTATTTAACGGTTCAGACATGAAAACGATAAGTATTGCGATACGCTGATCGAAAACCGATATTTTGACGTTTTGAAAACTTAGTAACACTCGGAAATCTCGGATATTTCCTTGTATCATTTGTGTCAAATATTATTTACATTTTTAGTTTGTCATGATTAAAAGTTGTTATTAAAACTTAATCAAGCATAGTGATTTCGTTGTGTTTTGCTTATAAATCAAGCATCAACTCGATTATATGTAGTTTTTTGTTTTAAAATACTTCATGCAATATATTGCAATATGAACATTCTCTGCATCGCAATATATTGCAATATGAACATTCTCTGCAATGCCCTAAGGAGTGAGTGAGTGACTGAGTGAGTGAGTGACGTTCCACGTTAATTAGAATTATATGGTGCTCACATACCTTAAACATGAAGGCAAGTCTGGAACAAACTCAGCAGATTAGCATCCCCAGAGATTAGCATCCCACATCTATTTCGCGCAACCTAGTAGACCGTCTACAATCAGTATCTCAGTGCACAAATTGATGACATTAAAACTTCGACGCGCCAAGTCACTGAATACAATACCCGAAAAAATAAACGATCGGTTTACTATGTAAATATCAGAAGAGATTAGACCCGGTTACCCCGACGAGCGTGTCTCCATGGACAATAAGTAGGTGGTTGGACCGGGGTTCGGTTTCCAGTAACTACACTAAGTGGGACACCGTCTTATTGAACACACTAACTTGATAACATCTATCATGTATTGGGGGAGTATCTCCAGACTGGTTTTGTGTACAAAGCCGCCATGTTGAATATTGTACATGTCAGTGTTGCGAGGCGGGTTTTTCATCTGCTGGTTCGATGTGGTGGATGATATTGTTTCTTTGAGTGGTTGTCCCTTAACGGAGTATTCGGGCTACATCACGGTCGTCTGTCGATGGGGGTCAGACATTGTGACCACCGAACCCTCCTCAGCATGCTTTACTCAAATCATCGTTCTCAATTGGAGGCAAACGGACGACAGGTACAACCCTTGCCTTGCAGCTCTCCCAAGGGAAGAGCACTGTAATGTCTTGGGTCAGTGGGCGACGGGACGGCAATAGGTTAGGTAACTGTCGTAGGGCCCTTGGCAATCTCACAGCTCAGTAACCCTCGGAAGGGGTGTTTGAGTAAGGTTTTTACGCTGCTTTTAGCAATATTCCAGCAATATCACTGCAGGGGACACTAGAAATGGGCTTCACACATTGTACCCATGCTGGGCATCGAACCGGGTCTTCAGCGTGACGAGCGAACGCTTTAACCACTAGGCTACCCCACCGCCTCCCTCGGATGTAGATGGACCGCTAACGCAGTTGGAACAGGTTAAGCAGCATCCTAAAACAGATCTTCTTATTCTTCAGTAACAGAGTATTTGGGTTCAAACCCACGGGTCTTGGCCAATGTGATGTGACAATCCACGAACACGTGTGTAGTGCAAATGGACAACTCTTCCTTGTGTTCTGGAGTATTGTGAACTGAGATCTCGCCATGTAAAATCTTAGGGCTAATGCATAATACCATAGGTTAGAGTGAGTGAGTTTAATTTGACGCCGCATTCAGCAATATTCCAGATATATGGCGGCGGTCTGTAAATAATCGAGTCTGGACCAGACATTCCAGTGATCAACAGCATGAGCATCGATCTGCGCAATTGGGATACGATGACACGTATCAACCAAGTCAGCGAGCCTGACCACCTGATCCCGTTAGTCGCCTCTTACGACAACCATTGGTCACTGATCTTAAGAAAACTGTGGAATCAACTATGTCCATCAACCAGAAGTTGATTGAAGATATCTTAGACCTGCAAAGTAGATCTATGAGGGACAATTTAGTGTTTTTCAACATTAAGGAGAGTGCTGCTGATACACACGAAGACTGCATTGAAGTCATCAAAAATGTATGTGCTAATTATCTTGAAATGACAGAGACTGTTGAAATAGATCGTGCTCACAGGATCGGGAAACCTGGACGAGACAGACCAATCGTGGCTAAGTTCAGGATATTCTCTCAACGAGAATCCATCAGGAAAAACAGTAAGAAGCTGAAGAATACCCCTTACTCTGTAGCAGAACAATTCCCAAGGAAATACAGGGACGGAGAAAGAGTCTACTCCCAGCATTTAAAAAAGCAAAATCGGAAAACGGGAAAGCCTCCCTAGTCCGAGATAAGCTTTATATCCACAGCAAGCTATACACAGGGCCAGGGTCAGTGACGCAGGGGTAGGTCCGTCTGGAGAATGTACTCTCAGATAATATCAGAATAATCTCATGGAACATCAGTGGAGCTTTCAGAACAAAATGGAATGACATTTCATTTCGCAATTTTGTTTGTACATATGATATTGCTTATTTTACTGAATGCTGGTAATCAAATGATTATCAGCTGGAGGTACCTGGCTTCCAAACTCGTGTGTGCCAGATCGAAAACGAAATCCAATCAAGGTGGAGGCTTCGTTCTTCTGATCAGAGATAACCTAAAACAAGTTGTGACCTTAGACAAAGTATATCACTATACCATGGCCTGGGTTTGATGAATCCATAACTGTTTTTAAAATGAATGTTTACTGCGCATAAAGTTATATACCACCTCAAAAATAAAAAAAATATTACAAGAACTATGATTGTGACGTATTTGCAGAGCTTGAAAATCAAATCGCCAACTATTCTGTTATAGGGGAAGTAATAACTGTATTCATGCTAGGAGATACCTAACAGCAGAACTCAACAAAGGGACGATATTACATAGAAAATGATGCGCTGCCGGACATACTGACCAATCAAATTCTATTCTATCATATCACGCAGATGCCAAATCACCAAAACATGTAAACCCCTACAATGGACACAGACATTTTGGTAAGACACGTATCCATTTATGCAAGTCTACTGGCCTCAGAATATTGAATGGAAGAACAGTTCATCTATGTCGAACGACTACATATTTAAGGTTCAAATGGACTTTGGTGTTATTGATTATCTATTGTGTAGTGACATATTTCCAAAATTTATAACTGCAAACTTCAACCACATCTCTGATCACGCTCCTTTGCATGTGGAGTCATCATACTCAGTCAGTCAGATAGCTACAGTTTACAATTTTACACCCGCAAATGTATACCTCCTCTTTACAAACGATATAAAACTATATTTAGACTGTCATCAAAAGGCAGAACTGAAAAACAGCTGTCTGATGAGGGGCGGAAGGCGGCGTTTAGGATACATTTCAATGCTAGATCCCTTCATTTGAATCCTGGAAGTTTATTGTCATTATTTGATAGTTATATTGGAAGTGTGGTGTGTTATGCCTCGGCTGTGTGGCTTCATATGGGAGATAACTGTGAGCGGTTACATCTCGATTACTGTAAACGTTGTTGGGGTGTTAGAAAAAGTACTTGCAGTGCTATAGTTTATGCTGAACTTGGTCGAATTCCTTTAAAATATGTAAAAATGTTTAACATCATGAATATTTTTATGGTGTAATATAAGGTGTAATATGCAGAATTGAGCATATCAAGTTAATTGTACATGTATTTTGACAGGTATCGGGTTTGGAGGCATTTGGTATGCTCAGGAACTTCATTCTAATTTCGTACCAGTTATCAAACAACGAATCTTTGATCATGCCTTTCGGTATGTTAGAAGTAAATTGTCTTTATCATGTAAATACACTTTATATATTAATCTCACAGATAGCTACAGGGGCGGTGGGGTAGCCTAGTGGTTAAAGCGTTCGCTCCTCACGCCGAAGCCCCGGGTTCGCTTCCCCACATGGGTACTATTTGTGAAGCCCATTTCTGGTGTCGCCCGCCGTGATATTGCTGGAATATTGCTAAAAACGGCGTAAAACCATACTCAGTCAGTCAGATAGCTACAGTTTACAATTTTACACCCGCAAATGTATACCTCCTCTTTACAAACGATATAAAACTATATTTATACTATCATCACATAACTTATCAATAGAAACAGGTAGATATTATAATGTAAATATGAATAAAAATGATGTGATGTTTGTATTACAGATATTGCGGACGAATTTCATTTCATCCTTAAATGTTCACAATTATGTAACCTAGGTAAATTTCTTGTTAATGCTCTTAAGATAAGAAATATGTAATTTATATGTAATTTACATTTATATGTAATTTATATTTATATGTAATTTATATTGTATACATTCTCCTGCCCAGCATACCACCCTGTCAAAAGTATATATCAAACACCCATGAAATGTAATATTTCAAGGAAATAAAGAATTGAATTGAATACAATGGACCCGGTATTTACCATGGAAGAAGCAGAACAAAGTCGTTACGATCTTTATGCTTGGAACGATATCTGTGAGAAAGAAAGGAAATGGTTAAAAAGTAAGAACAGCTGTCCAAGAAAGAAACTCTAAGAGATGATTTATGCCAAGCCCGAAAATATTTTGATAACCTTCACAGAAGATATAAAAGAAATTTCCAAAAGGAAAAACAGAAGCAACTGAGTGATTCCCTTGGTAGCCCAAACATCTTTTGGAAAAACATTGGCAAATTAGGTATTCAAAATGAAAGAAAGATACTCATCCCCAGTGAAGTCACAGATGAACATGGCGATGTTACTTCAGATCAAACCATTGTCATGGACAGATGGAAGAATGACTTTAGTAAATTACTTAACCCACAGTTACATTATGTAACCACCCCAATTGACACATATCGTAATGAACATGAACAATTGTGTGAACCCACCAATGAAACGGTAAACAGTGAAGAACTAAACGAACCTATCTCAAAGATTGAGGTTATCAAAGCTGTCCAGAGTATGAAATTAAATAAAGCCCCGGGAATTGACCAGCTCCAAGTTGAAGTGTTGAAGAACACTAACAGTATAAATATTTTACATGGCCTGTTCAACACTATGTTTAGATCAGGCCTAGTTCCCAAAACGTGGCAAAAGGGAATCATAACTCCCATCCCTAAGTCAGGAGTCAAGAATCCCAGCCAGCTACAGAGGGATAACACTACTCTCAGTTCCATACAAGATATATGCTAAAATATTAAATACTAGATTAAGCAATTGGCTAGAACAACAAGACCTCCTTAATGATCTACAAAACGGATTTAGGAAAGGTAGATCGTGTCAAGACCATATACATTCATTGACCAAGATTATGTACAACAGAAATATATCAAAACTCTCGACATACTTATGCTTTATCGACATAAAGAAGGCCTTTGACTCAGTTCAAAGACAATTACTATGGTTAAAGATAACAACTCGCTTTCAAATACAAGGACAGTTTCTATCAGCAATACAATCCCTATATCAAGACGTGAAATGCTGCGTTAAAGTTAATACAGAAATGACTGACTGGTTTGATGTGAATACTGGAGTCAAACAAGGTTGCTGTTTATCCCCGACACTGTTCTCTATCTATATAGATGATCTTGCCAATGAAATAAGCAAACTACAATGTGGGGTGGACATCGACCATATCAATGTGTCTCTACTACTATACGCCGACGACATTGTGTTAATAGCTCCTGACAAAAACAAGCTACAGCAACTCCTAGACTGCCTTTACTCCTGGACAACAAAGTGGAAACTGACCATAAATAAAGATAAATCAATGATTATGCACTGCAGACCAATCTCTACTCCTAGATCACTTCACATATTTGCTTGTGGTGATATGAATATTGATTACTGTTTTGAATATAAATATTTAGGTTTGTGGCTCAATGAGCACTGTGACTACGGGAAAACTGTACGAGAAGTGATTAAATCAGCTAATAGAGCCCTGGGTGTTGTTGTGGCCAAATTCAACTGTCTTGGAGGTTTCAGTCTTGATGTTTTTACTAAGCTATACGATAGCTATGTCCAACCCATAATCAACTACAGTGCAAGTATCTGGGGACTAAATCAATACAAGGAAATAGGACAAATCCAGAACAAAGCAGGAAGATTTTCCCTTGGAGTTAGAAAAAACACATCAACTATAGCTGTGAGAGGCGATTTGGGTTGAGAAGCTCTGACTCGAAAATAAAGACTGAAGTAATCCGCTATTATCACAAAATAGTGACGGCCGAACCGGATTCATTAAGTGCAGCTCTTCATAGATGGTCAGTGCCAAGAAAATCATCCTGGGATTACAGAACCCAAGACTTCATAAAAAAACTCAACATACATGGACAGGAAAATATTAATGTGTTTTGCTTAAATATTACCAGAACTGAACTACTACAAAAAGCCCTTGATACTTTAGACCAAAGAGACAGTGATCAGTGGCTCCACGATTTGTTCAAAGATCATAACAAACCCAATGGGAACAAACTCAGAACATATAGACTCTATAAAAAAGAAATATGTGTCTGTCACTACACAAGAATAAATATAACTAGACAGCAAAGAAGCCTGCTTGCTTCTTTTCGTAGTGGAAGCCTGCCCCTCAATATTGAGAAAGGACGGTATACCAAGCCTGTGACCCCCCTTCAAAATAGACTGTGTACACTGATGTGACGGCCACGCAGTAGAAGATGAGGTGCACTTCATGATGGAGTGTAGCTTCTACTCCGACATCAGAACGTGACTTTTTCATAAATGTAACCAACTAAACTCAAGCTTTATGGACCTCCAATTATATGATAAGTTATGCTGGTTGTTGTCAAATGATGATATCCAATACGAACTAGCCAAATGTTTGCAAAGTATGTTCCACAAAAAATCCTTTCAAGAAAACTGTAAATAATTTTAATGCAATAATTTTAACTTATGTATGTATGTATGTATGTATGTATGTATGTATGTATGTATGTATGTATGTATGTATGTATGTATGTATGTATGTATGTATGTATGTATGTATGTATGTATGTATGTATGTATGTGTATGTATGTGTGTATGTGTGTATGTGTGTGTGTGTGTGTGTGTGTGTGTGTGTGCGTGCGTGCGTACGTGCCTGCCTGCCTGTGGCTGTGCCTGTGTGCGTACGTACTTACGTACTTACGTACGTATGTTGTATGTATGTACGTGTGTACGTATGTACATATGTGGGTATGTATGTCTTTATGTTTGTGTATGTAAGTATGAACGTATGTATGTTTATATCTATGTAGCGTTGGCTCGTCACGCCGAAGACCCGGGTTCGATTCCCCACATGGGCACAATGTGTTAAGCCCATTTCTGGTGTCCCCCGCCGTGATATTGCTGGAATATTGCTAAAAGCGGCGTAAAACCAAACTCAGTCAGTCAGTTATATCTATGTATGTATATGTTGTGTATGTATGTGTATGTATGTATGTATGTATGTATGTATGTATGTATGTATGTATGTATGTATGTATGTATGTATGTATGTATGTATGTATGTATGTATGTATGTATGTATGTATGTATGTATGTATGTATGTATGTATGTATGTATGTATGTATGTATGGTTTATATCTATGTATGTATGTAAGTGTATATGTTGTGTAAGTGTGTGTATGTATGTATGTGTGTGTGTATTGTTTATATGTATGTATGTATGTATGTATGTATGTATGTATGTATGTATGTATGTATGTATGTATGTATGTATGTATGTATGTATGTATGTATGTATGTATGTATGTATGTATGTATGTATGTATGTATGCATGCATGCATGTATGTATGTATGTATGTATGTATGTATGTATGTATGTATGTATGTATGTGTGTATTGTATGTATGTATGTATGTATGTATGTATGTATGTATGTATGTATGTATGTATGTATGTATGTATGTATGTATGTATGTATGTATGTATGTATGTATGTGTGTATTGTTTATATCTATGTATGTATGTAAGTGTATATGTATGCATGTGTCTATGTATGTATTTAAGTATGTACATGTATACGTCTATGTATGGATGAATTTATGTATGAAGGTATCTTTGTAGTTATCTATGTTTGTACGCATCGATGCTAGTATTTATACATGTACCTATGTGTGTATCTAAAGCTTTTTAAATATTACTGATATTCTTTTTTAAGGTGTCATTTCGGCCTCTCGAGGCCTGGTGTTTGCATTTTATATGCTGTACTATGCTGTCCCATCATTTATAACACATGACACTATAATAAACTACTACTATTACTATTTATTGTCACTACAAGTCGTATGCTACAAGTTGTTATGACAGGTCGCACCGTGAGAACGCACCTTTACGCTGTGTACACCGGGATTGCATGTAAATATGATAATAATTATATATAACAAGTTCACTCAGTATGTATTATCTCCCTGTACCTTCATTATAGACATTCAAGAGATGAGGTAAAGATAAGTATAAATGTGCACCCTGCATCAGGTTTACTCCTATAAGAACTACATCCTAAATTAACTACAGGGGTTAATTAGGGAGTAATTATTTGAGTCAGAAAGGTAAACCTCAGGTGCTTCTTGTCACCAGGAATGTCAATAGAGGCGACTCAGTCCATCCAGTACCTCGATGCAGTTGGCTACTTATTGAAGCTGGGCTAAACTAGTTCTACATGGATCAGATTAAACACTAAGGATGGAAGTAACACTGAATTATCACACTAAACATATAAGCCTGTCTATCTATCTATCTTATCTATCTTATCTATCTATCTATCTATCCTTTGAGAATAGCTGCACCGGCCTCTGAAGCGTGACGACGGGGATGTGAATATGAACAGGGTAAAGCAAACGTTTTGTGGTTTCATATTTAAGAAGATTCTTTACCTCTTCAGAAATGCTGTATCCATACCTATTATTCATGCGCAGTTTTTCATGGTAGCATACCTGTATACTGACTAAAAATAGCCATTGTAAGAAAAGTATATTTACCTTCTGGGCACGTGGTTAAGGTCATGGTGCAAACTGACATTTGAATACAGGATAACATTTTTTAAACAGTTGACTTACATTTTAAATTACCGCACTCGATATTGTCTCTTGATTAATGCTCGTCTAAGAAATGTATGTAGTGATCTTCATAGTCGAGTTGAAGGATATATTGTAAATGTTGCAGCATCTGTGTGTGTGTGTGTGTGTGTGAGGGGGTGGGGGGGTGGGGGTGGTGGTGGTCTTTACTTCGTATTTTCTTGCCCCACCTATCAGATAAGAATCGCCATGTACTACTACAGAAAGGGTTTGTATCTGATAAGTGTTGTGTGGAAAAAGGAATTAACATGTCATCCACAACGTAGGAAACATAGAAAATAGTTATAGATTTGTACAAAAATATATATTTAACGTCATGAATAATTTACTATTAAACATGTAATTGTTTATCTTAAACCTTTGATGTCTATACCAATTTGATAACACGGAGGAATCTGTTAATCATGTTTTCTTTTCAAGTTGAATAAAATGTTGTTGACATTTACCCTAATTATACATGATAATTTCGAAGATTTAAATTTGATCTCATCTCAAATATAAGACTCACTGAATTCCCATGACGCGTGTGAACCGAAGTCAGGTAATACATATCCATGTTGAACTGTCAACCAGTTGATGTCGCGAAGTTTAACTTGTCAACTTCTCGAAGGTCGTGTACATTCCTTCTTCACACGTATTGCATCTGAGGTAGATACTTCATATGTCAAGGTCTAATTCCTTATCGTATCCTTAAACATTAGCTTATAATTTCATAAGGATGTGTTAGATGTGAGCGATATACTGATACCCATCCACAAAACACCATAGTAAGCACCCGGAACATGATTAGACAGTGTGTGAAATAAGGCCTGTCCGACCGCCCGAGACGGGCTGACGGGCGGTCTAAAGTTACAGCTAGCAATCCCGATGGTCTGGTAATTGATCTTTAGATATTCCATACATCTCAATAAATTCACCATGTCTTGGTGGCTGGTCTCGTTAAACCCATTTGGGGCTAGTAACATTTTGAAGTTACCAGCCCTGATGTCTGGCTGGGTTTTTGGCTTATTGCATACACTGGTTTCATTAGAACACAAAATTGCTGACAAACCAACCCCCACCCACCCCTAGGCCGTGTGTACAAAATTGATGACCCCCCTAGCTCACCAGAAAAACATGTGCGACCCCCCTTAAAATCATCATCACCCCCTAGCCATAAATTATGAACGGTCCTTTAGCGGATGACAGCTTACCTTGTAGTATGAATTCACTTTCGGAAAAAAAATCCACTCTATGAATTAATAAGATCACGTGTTCAGCTGGCGAAGAAGTACAGAACGAAGTGGAATCCTGGTTTACTGAGCATAGCGACGTTGGCAAGCTTACTGCTGTTTGAACGACATCGACCCGACAGTCTCGTGACTTTATAGGGTGCGTTGTTTTTACAGTGGTTTAACCCCTGAGGTAAACTGATTTCTAAACAATTGCGGTGAGTTTGTTTGCTTTATGGCAGGATTTATAGCTCAGGTGTCAGGAGGATTATTTCGGGATCGAAAAGCGGTAGCATGTTTCAAAGGATCTTAAGCTGTTAATTGGGATGCATGTATCCGCGTTAATTAAATATTTGGCAGGTATTGTAGAAACACAGGTGTGTGTCCAGCATCAGCCAGACCTGTTGAAACAAGCGCCAAGTGTCCTCTCATTCAATTGTGTTATATATGAATAGAGAATAAATATATACTTTCAGGCTTTCATTTCAAGTGTTGGGAATTAAAATGCCTCTAACTCTGTCCAAAACCTCATTATATAGCACTTTTAAATAAGATCTATTTTAAATAAGATCTCTTTGATGTTAACATTAAAATGTTTAGGACAGCAAATGCACGATTACGATGTACGTCGCATGAAATAAATGTAAAAAAAGCAGATATCACAATGTTCAACAAGAAAATGGTTATGTGTCTGTTATGTCATTTAGGCGTAAAAGAGGATGAGCATAATTCTATATTAGTTTGTCCGTATTTTCACAATTTAAGAATTTCCCTCCATTATTGTGAATATAAATTGAAGTTATTGTTGAAAGCAACAAATTTACAAATTTTAATTTAAATTGTTAAAAATCTGTCAACGAACATCTGTCATGGATTCAACAATAGAAATTTGTTTTAAGTATTATGTGCCTGTACACACTTGTAATGTACTATAGGCATATGGCCTCTTCAGTACCCCAAATAAAAGAAACTGAATTGAATTGAAACTGGGAGAGGCTATGGTTTAGGAGTTCTGACAGAAATGAACATCGTTACCTACAACACATGGGATGAATTATTTTTACATTAAAATGTTCAAGTTAAGAAATATTTATATTACATCGTAACAATTGCAGCGAACAACTACTTAACATTTAAAATAACAAATGTAAAACTGGTTTAAACGCCCATAAATGTGAAAGTTGGTCTCCAGTGGTTATCGATATGAAGATCGGTTTAACTTTATTTCATTTGTCCAAATGTTACTAAAATGACATAATGACGTAATGACATGTTCAGTTGTAGCGGTGTTTACATAAGCTACAACAACTTGTTCACCAATCCTAGTCATTCATTGAATATAAATATGTTTATATCACAATGAATACACCTGGTTTCAAGTCCATAAATTTCCTTCACATATCTACCATAGGACCAGAAGCCGGATAGTACACCATTGAAATATACGTAAATAAAGTAGGAAATACATGCTATGACCGGATTTACATATGCTTCCAGAGATTTCTCAACTTAGGGCATATATTTCACACAAATCTATACCTTTGAATCATATGCTCG